GCTCGTACGTCCTAGAGTTGCCGCTGAATGATGTACGGATGTCCCGAGACTCGTTTGGACGAGCGTCTAAGCTTTGACGCTTAGGCTCTTCCGCTGCAACACAAACACAACACTGTATATTATACAGCTCACGCAACAGACATCCTAACTATGATTATTAAATTAGAATTTACTTAATTAACTGACAGTTAAACTACTATGGACTAACTGCAGCAGACAGAGTTAGCTATGTTTCTCTTTTGTTTTAATTGAGTAATATGCAACAAGCTAATTTTTTAAAATTACTGTGTGCTCAAAACCAGCGATGGCATATAACTAGAATAATCATAAACCCTAATAGACTTCAGTGAGACATCAGTCCAGCGCTACTGTCCTACTTTACTGGAATAATGTAAACCAAGTATAATATGAAATGTGATGTATCCCTAACATTAATATTGGCAATCTACACAGGAGATCATGTTCATATATAATAAAATTACATGCAGAACTAACATTTATAAATATAAACTGCTATAACAGCATTTAATATTGTCAGTAGTGTATCATTACATCTATTACAAATCATTAAATAAGGTTTGAATTCAACTGTATATAAATTTGAATATAAAACAATAAAATTGTACAAACAAAAGTTGTACTAATATATTAACTAGATGACATAGGCTTAAGGTTCTTATTCATCTAAAATATTTTATTTCTAATAAATATTATTTTATAACAATAAACAATAGGTCAGGGTACACAAAGACATTACAGCATCAAAACATAACAGTGGATTTATCAATATAATTGAAATTATATATACAATTGCTATTTACTTGGTAAAAATAAACATCTCTATACCATAATAAAAAATGCCAATTAAATATATAAAAAAAATATTGTATGAGATTTAATGTGACTTTCAAGATTGAATCTAAAACGAAAGAGTAACATTCAGTTCCAGAAAGTTATATTTAAAACAAGCTGTTGTCCACTCCATCTGCAAGTAGTTAAAAAAACTTCCCAATGTGTTTGTTCAGACAATGTTCTACATCTATGATAAATTTTTGCAAGATACTTTGAACAGCTTTGGAGATACCTTCAAACAAACATCCATTCATCCATCAAAATTTATATATTCATAAGATAGTAAGACTTAATATACATCCCTTCAGCCGCATCATAGCATAGCACACATTAATATAAAAAGTTATCTATTGACAGAGGAAGTGTTAAGTTGATAATGCAACCCTGATTCCTATAATCTCAATGACCTACTTTAACTTCATAAAAAAATTAACGAACATTTTTTAATAATTTGCATTTCGAATTTCCGTCCATTTACTCATATATATTACAAATATCAATTTGATTGTATATCATAAAACATTTCTTACACTTCCATACCTCGGTGACTCATGAGATAAGACAGATTTTGATGAATTTATGTATGCTTGTATTTTTAGGTTGTATTAATAAGAATAAACTTTATGTAATGCCACTAATTAATTTCAGATTTCTTTTAGTTTGTTGAATGATTAAAATAAATGCAGTATATTTATTTTATAAGGTTATCTCTAAATCATTACATAGGTGGTCTCCAGTTTTATGTTTAAACTATTTAGTAGGAATAAGATTTTACCTTGAGGAGTGTTGGCTTGTTGCAACTGCCTACGCAGATGCGGAGGGATGTATCTGCCAGCACCCTTAGAAGCCTGAGGCTGCAAGTCCAGACCAGCAAGCTAGAAACATAATATTTATTAATAAATACATAAATATCCTGATTAACCATGCTATCTATATCAAAATGTCATCTTTTATTTTTTGGTATCAAGTTTTACCAACTGTTGCTTACAATAACAAACTCAAGCGTAGCTCACACGGCCTTTTATGCTTAAACTTAACCCCATGTATTTTAAATTTTATGACATTACAGATCAATAACTATATACACCATGTAGGACAGACTAATAAATGAATGTGCCAGATTTTGCAAAACCATATATAAAAACTTAATAAACATCGATAGAATAATTATATCATTATATTTTTCTTAAATGCAGTGCAAAATCAAGCAGAAAATTTCCACGAATCGTGACACGCAAATTTACCGTGACAGTCAATTCGCAGTAATGTATTGTCAGAAATAAGTATGAAAATGTTTATTAAATTATCTACAGTATATAATTCATACAAAAATGGAAAAACCTATAAAATCAATCAGATACCAAAGAAGAACCCAAGTCGCCATGTTGGTTACAACGAGACACGTAAAGAAAGACTTTATAATAGAAAAGCACTACACTTTTCCTCATGAATTAGATATGACTTAATTTTTTAAAATAAATTGAAAATTAATACAAGAAATATCTATACCTGGGCAAATAAAGAGAAAATCAATACAAAGCACTAGTACATGAGGTACCGACCTGCTGCTCTAGACCTGTTCCATTTTGGTTGGTAACATTACTCATATTACTACCAAGCGGTACGTTTTTTTGGCAACTTTGCTTCAAAAATACTATACAAACAAAGTCTACAATGAATTTTGCACAAACACAAATTCACAAAATCACATGAAAAAGCGACAATTTTTCTCCCCGAAAACACTTTTCATTCGCAGTTTTTGTTCTTCTCGGATAGATTTTGTCTTTGTTCAATTCAATCGTTCACTCCTCATTCAAATTTCGTACATTTCATTCTAGATCAGTGTTGCCATTCATTTTAACAATTTATTGTAAAAATATTCCTTTAAATATTTAAGAAGAAAATCATTATGTTATTTATTTTAAGAAACAAAATAATGCAAATAATTTGTTTTTATATTTATCGCATTTGGTGATAAAGAAGAACTTTTGTAAACTTAGTATTTTCTTTTTAATGACATTGTCATGACTTACATGACCAAGACATGACCATGACATTACCAATACCACTGTCAAAAACAAAACGAAGTTATGTTTTGATAAAATTTTGGACAAATTGTTAACTTTTTAAATATTTTAAGATCATTTTACAGGCAAGGCATATTCTTATTAATATCTTTTTCTAGCCAACAACAATCTGTATTGTCTCCGATGCGTAATTTGTGAAATTCGTTTCAGGTTTTAAAACACTATGAATCCGGAATTAGGAGATATTCATAATTCTAATGCTCCGCGACAACGACAACCTCCGCCGGAACCGAGGCCCCGTCAACCGCCACCGGAACCTAAAAAGGCGACAGCACAATCCCCGCCAAAACCTAGGGAACGGCAACAACCACCACAGCCTAGAGAACGGCAACTTCCACCACAACCGAAAGAGAGGAAACCACCGGCAGAATCGTAACCATTAAAAAACTCTATTTGCATCTCATCTTTGTTGTTAAGGGTAGTTGCTACTCTTTTTTTACAAATATAAAAATATATTTCGTTATAAAACTTATGAGCCATTAGGCATTAAATATAATTTCTAATTCTTATAAGGATTACCAAGACTGAGTTCATGGTAACCTATTAACACTTTCCATGCTACCAACATTATTTTATATGAAAGTGTATTTGCCAAGCAAGTCAGTGGCACTGAAAGTGTTAATCTGAGTGTGTTCAATGAAATAGGTTTAAATAAAACATGTTATGATATGCCACAACTTTTGTATGTATTTAAAATGACATGTGATGCTTGATTTGCGGTCATGTACTTTTTACATAATACTTGTGCTTAGTTTATGTGTTTCAAGCCTAGATGTTTTATTGCATTTGTTAAGTTACCTAACATATACATTTTATATTTAATTGTAAGAAATAAAAAATACTAGTTTTGTTTAAAAAAATTATGAACTTACAAATGAAGCATGTAATAGAGAAACATCTATTTTTTATAAATTTAAATATATCTGCAAAGAAACTATATTTTTCTAAATTTTAATGCATGTTTAATAAGTAATTCAACCTTTTGAAAAACTGAAAAACCAAATTGACTCGGGATCAAATGGACAAAAAGCGCCATCTATTGGTTACATTTTAAAAAAATATATGTTATTTTCGGTTATAAGTCAGGTAAAATTGTGCTGTAAAACTAGAAGTTTTATTTTGTACTTGCAGCTTATGTAAAGATGTTTACATAATTAAATTTTTTATTAAAAGTGTATTTTTTAATTGAATTGATGCTATGAGTATATTTTGTGATGATACATAAAATAAAAAGTTTAAAAATAGACCCCCCATATAGACACCCCAAGAAGAGCCTACATAAATGATGACGATATGCTATGCTAAACTTTGAACATTTGACAATAGCACGCAAAAGAGATGTCTAAATCGAATAACATCGTATATCTTTTGAGCTGTCCGGACATCCTCGTGTGGGCGAAATGACCGGAAGTCGACGTTTGGCCTTAGTTCAGATGTCAGATATCATTCGTGTATAAAATCCACAGTTTGACGCACACTTACTACAAATAAGTGCAAAATGTTAAAAACAATTGTATTATTGTTATTGATAGCTTCAGTTTATACAAGATCTATTGGGCCACGTTCCATGATGCAGGACGATGTAGTTGTTCCCGAACCAACAGTGATAATAAGAAATGTTGCGTTTGACGACTCTCCCGATGACTATAACATCTCAGACGCCAACTGTCCTGATGGTTTCTTGATGGATTTTACGGGAATTTGCCGAGAAGTATGGTGACAATGAACGAATTAAGCACGAAGATATGGTGAAGATTGACAGAGCCGGTTTATGTATTACTTTAATATTGTACCTTTTTTATTTAATATTTAATTTTATACTTAATTTTGTAATTGATAATATGTTCCAAAAACAAAAGACGTAATTGTCAAATAATCAAATTGTATACAGTAGTAATATTGTAAGTAAATAAATTATTTCATGTTCTATTTTGTATTAAATAAAATGAACGCGTTAATTTTCTGGCATTTAATTTTTAAATAAAGGATGAATAATAAATCATAGACAAATATTTTATTGTTTTTATGAATTAATTCCCCTTTTTAAATGAAAGTGCAACATCAACAAAAAAATATTTTTATTTAAAAGTACAATTAAAGCAGTCTCTCGATAAACCTCCAAGTATCTAGCTGGTTGAGGTAGGGGTTGGCGATATCGACAACAAATTCTGAACCAAAGTTGGAGATGGCTCCTCGGAAACGGTTGATGTAATCGACGACGACCTCCTGGATCACTGCATTCACTATAACGTCGATGTCACCACCTCCGATAGCTCCAGCGACATTTGACTGAAAAAAAAAATCTTTTATGTCCAAGTAAAGCTATTAAAAATGTAGCCGATTAGAATTAATCAGATTTTTACAGCTTAAAATTTTACCTTAAAAGATGGAAGTTCAAAAGTTGCATTTTCGATTCTGTCAATGATAATAGATTTTTCGTTGTCCGATTGTTTAAGGTAGATTTTTGCCCGTAAACGAAATTCTTCTATCTGGAATCTATATTAAAAAGTATTAATGAACTTCTTACCGTGGGTTTCTAAGACTAAAATTCCCGTTTAAAACATACTTTTATCTATTTTGTCAAGGATAATGACCGGGATGGCGAAATGTTTTACACAGAGATTTTGGACTCAGAAACCAACGGTTACTTAATAACATTATATGGTGGTTAATTTACGGAAGATAAATAACATTCAAATTAAGAAAACGTAAAATTTTAGGTAACGTTATTAATTTCAGTTCTTTTTATTATGCTGATCCACAAGTTTGGATTTGAATTTTCAAATACTTACGCGGCATTCCCCTTGCCATAAAGCGGGATTGCATCAAATAAATCGCCGGTGAAATCGTAGATTTCTGAAAATTACAAACACATTACCTAAGTTTTTTTTCGGTTTTTATCATTTATCTCGGTCGGGACCGCGCTAAATAAAGCTCCTTAGTCTCTGCCTACCGCTTTGAATTACGGGCGTAAGTTGTTGTAATAATGGTGGAAACTCACTATTACGTTTACTTACCGGTACTTATATCCAGTTTAGGCACGGATAAATCGATTTCAAAGCTAAGATCTCGCAAGATAAGTTCGCTCTTGTGTACCACGAAACCACCCAGGCCGGTCATGAAGATCTTTTGAAGATCGAGATCTAAACTGAATTAAAAAAACGTAAGTATTAATATTTAAAGTATCACAAAATAACGTCTAACGTCTAATTGACTATGGCCCAGTCACCCCTAACTTTGGGGAGGCTCCGAGCTCGTCGGTGGGGACGTATAGTGAGCTGATGATGATGAACATAACATCAAACGATGCTTACTTTATAAAAAAAAAGTATATTGGATTGTATAAAAAATAAATATGCAATTTTGAAAATTTCTCGACTAGACATCGGCTTTCACTGCATCCGTTTAGCATGGCAAATGTTGCGTGGAAATGAATCCTTAAATTGCTGGTATCCTATACTTACTTGGCTATCCCAGCTGGTATTTGCAGACGGAAACTTTCCAAATCGAGGGGATCCAGGGGCGGCAGGCCGAACAAGTCAGAGCCGTTCTTAATCACATTACGAACATATTCGATCAGCTGACGAATGAGCAAGTTGATCAAAAAGTTTCGTTCACTAGTTGACAACTCAGACAGCGACTCTATGAAAACAGAAAACTTTTTTATTTTACTAGAAATTACAGTGAATATTTTTAACTCATCGCAACTTAGCATTAAAAAAAAGTTAGTAACATTTATTGTCTGTGTATTTTGAGATAATGACTTACCATAATGAACTTCTTTTCGTGACTTCGGTAATGCCGCGGCGAGCGCGCATAGTGTTAACAATATCAACAATTTCATTCTGCGATATGAGATAAAAAAAAAACAATTAATTGTAATAAATCGCGTTTTCTCCAACCCTAAGGATATAAAGAACTAAAAACATATCAGTCATAGATATATCTAACATTTAAAAATTAAATCAAATATCTTTATCAAACAAAGTATTCGATAATATCGTGCCGCATATCTAAATACATTAGAGGTCCTTCCTTGCCGCCAAACTAAGTATTGTTGATATTTTTCAAACGTTTATTAAAAAAAAATATTATTTTTGTAAGTATTGATAATTATAATACAATAAACCCGACGTATTTCCAAGGCTTACCTTAGTCAAGGTCATATTAGAGGTGTCAAAAATTAAACAGATTAAAAATAATCCAACGCATTTCCTAATCCAGTGACATGCTTACAGTGAATGCTTATCATACATATCGCAGTCATTTGACCATGTGTATATCCTCGTTATGTACTTTATGTATTTCCATTTTCTATTTAAATACAATAAATATTTCGCATGTGTTATCATTTGAACACACTACATTTGTTTAACTACATTTTAACGATCTTAATTCGACTTGCTATTACATTTTTTTTGCTTAATGATTGTTTTTATAATGATGTATTATTTTTATACCTCGACTACATCAACTATGCTTTATATACCAAATAATATCAGTTCTTTTTGGCTCCAGTTCACTCCGACGTCGATGATTAGGCTTTAGTTAATAGCCACTCATCATCAGCCCACTCATCACTCAGATATGTGCAGGTTGCATCACAATGTCTTCCTTCACCGTAAGAACATCGGATAAATGTACATATGTAAATCGGAAATCGAAAAACACATTGGTACATGGCGGGAATCGAACCCAGTACCTGCAGATTGCAAGTCAAGTGTTTGACCACTGAGCCACCGACGCTCTTGTCGGTGGCTCAGTGGTAGTGGTGGTTATAGCCAGTGCGTATTTGCAATCCTGCGATGGCTGTGATTATCAAGCAATGGCGCAGATTATTTGCCATAGATTCATAATTACTTCTTAATTAAAATTTCCTAATATCCGATGACGCGGGTCGGATGTTCCGTTTTCTACTAATTATTATTTTCTCTGAACACTACCGCACTACATGGCAAATTAATCTGTTTATAAATCAAATCTAACTTGAACAACTCGGATTGAATCGGTGGTATACAGAAATAGGATTTATTTTAAATTTTTAAGTAGCTTCTAGCCGAACTAATTTTCTAAGACACAGAACTAAGAATTAATAAAGTTTACACATGGAGTTTTTATGTAAAATTCAAAATGATCTAACGGTCGAATTGAAGTTGTAGAGTTATACTACATTTAATAAAATATTTATTTGAGACCACGCGTTTATTTAAAATATCGACTCACCTGAGTTAGTTGTCGACAGTTGCGGAATAACTGCTCGCAGTTCCTGTATGAAAAACATTTAAATAATCATACATCATATTTTATCGCTAGTTTAATATTGTTAGGATATCGATACAAAATATTATCTTAATTGATTTTTTATAAACAAACCGATCTTAAGTTTTCAAATTGAACTACGTATAATCAGATAGTCCGATTGAATCATCATGATTTGACGATCATAAGGGTTTTAATTTTCATTTCATGGTCACACCATGGTGGGCTTTAATTACAAACAAATCAACTCGATTAAGGCAAATATTTTTTTTTTTTACCGCATTGACACAAGAGGTTTTTCGCGGGTTTAGACAAGGGTCGTGTCCACTTCTTAGTTGATATGAAATTCAAACGAAGATATAGTACCAGGGATGCATGATATAGGACCGCCAACGCCAGACTATCGAAGCCGGGCGTCCGATATGATTAAGACAGCCTTGAACACTACTCCTAAGCACATCATTCACACTTTTAGGTTGCGTTTGATAAGCCTTGCAAAACATTGTAGAACCTCAATAAGGAAACCTTAATCCTCTTCCCCCAATAATTACTGACAAATATCAATGCATATCTGGTTATGCTAATAAATTTCTTGTTTTTGCTTAATCCTCTAACTCCTTAAACTCTATATGTAAATTGGTGTTGAAGGTATGTGTATGCAAATAGTAAAATTTAAGAAGAATAGAAGAATAATTTCTGTGTTGTAAAAAAAATAAGATTCATTCTTAATTGTTGGGACGGCATACGTGCAAAATAATACAGGTAGAAATACTAAAATTAATTTATTAAATAATATCACAGGATAGCGGCGATAAGTCTCCAAGATTCGAAGTTAGTTAAGTACTGGTTAAGGAATTGTTTGGCATCGTGTTCATGCTGAGCGGCAATGTATTTGCTGAATCTTGTAAGATAGTCTGCCAACAAGTCTTCTATCATGGCGTTCAGGATGTCGTCTATGTTGCCGTCGAATTCTGTTCTAGACTGTAACGATAGTGAGAGATATATAAATAAACTTACATAACTATTAGAGTAAACGTGATTTAGTAAAAGGAACAATGTTATAAAAAATAATTTAAAAAAAGTTCTACATTAAAATAGCGCATAACATCTTTGGGTAACTTTTTTGTTATGCTTTTCGGTTGGAATTACAGGTCTAATGAAGTGTGAAGTAATACTCCTGTGAAGAAGTGAGTATACTAGCTGCCACACGCGACTCCGAATGCGCGGAAATTAGAAAAACTCAGTAGCCTATGTTTTCTTTCAGACTACGTTCTATATCTATGCAATCTAATAAACATCCATCAAAACATTCCAATTTATATTATTAGTAAGATTGGAACGAATTGGAATCTGCTACTATTACTAAAATCATTGAAATAATTCCATTGTTTTTGCAATCTCACAATGTAACGTTATCATATTAATATTTTCAATATTGCTTGATTAAATCGCAGTCGGCAGATAGTGAGATGTGTAAAATAGATAATAGAAACACTCAAGATTCTAATCAGTGTAGAACAAAGGCGAAAATCCGCAAATTACGTCTATCATTTGAAGAGTAAATAGTTTATTATTTTAAAGACAAACTTCAGTAAGTAAATATTATTTACCAAATAAAAGATGAGACAAAGACAACAGCAGTATTGAGTAGAAATCAACGCAAATTTATAGTAGGCAAAATGCAGAAACGCGTGATTATAAGAAGAAGATTAAATCGAGATGTTTGAACAGCATGAGTGGATTCAAGACGATGTAGATTTTTACTTCGATATTTTGAGCAGTGCCAAATTTCAGCGGTAGGCTTTGTAGATTAGTTTCCTCTTTATAAAACTACGTGACACAATTATCTAATACGTATGCATATAAACTTACCACGATAGTATCAACTTCGAATTGTGGATGAATAAATCTATCTATTAGTATGGATTTACCATCGGCTGATTGTCTTAGATAAATTTTGCTTCGGAATATTAAATCGTGCGCTTCAATGCTGCAAAAATATACCTATTTAATGGTACATACTTTGTATTTGTTTATAGATTAATTATGAAATAAAACAAAGTATCTTTTAATTTAAAAATAGTGACCAAAAAGCGCAATTCTTACTTTAAAAAACCGTTTCCTAACAAAGGGAAAATGCTGTAAATGTCTCCGGCCATAACATATCTTTCTGTAACAAACATATAATTATTATATTTAGATGACGTCATAGCTTGGTAATATGGTTGTCCGTCCATGACTCCCAAAGGCAACCCCAAATTTAAGATTTAAGTATACTAACCAGATAGCAAAGATAGTAAAGGAAATCTCATATTCAGCTCTAATGAGATATCTTCCTTATCAAATGTTGTGTCAAGTATTTCAAAATCCCCCAGTCCAAGGAATGTCATATTATATAGTTCAGATTGTATCCTAGAAAATAAAAGTAAATATAAAAGCGATACTTTCAATAATCTACCACGTGTATGCGTACTTGGTTAACGAACATTTTAGTTAACCTGCCACATTCAAAGGTTACTATAACAAATCCTTTTAAAAAAGTCTAGTAAATAATTTAATCTCTATAAATAGATATACCATTACTTGGAAATTGTTGCTTTAGCCTCGTTCCGATGATACCGAACCTTTGACATTTCTGACTGTTAATTATTATTTGAATCCTTACCACCGCTACCAACCGCAACCGTCACCAAAAAAAGAGGCATAAAATACCACGGCTTAGCCTGACTATGTATAGAGGTTGACTTCTTATAATTCACTGGATTTAATATAAGAAATCAAAATCTCAGGGACTGCATACTGTATAGTAATCTGAGCGTTGGAGCGTGAATTTAGTCAACTTACGTAAACCCATTGCTAGTATAATTAATTTCCTGATGTTCGATTTGCAGTGGATCTAATATAGGCACGTCGTTAGTAGCACTGCCTTCTTTTATCAGTAACCTTAGTAATTCGAAAAGTTGTCTTAATACGGCATCTACTAGGAATCGATTACATTTCAAGTTACCATCTGAAACAAATTTATAGACGTTTATTGATCCACAATTTTTTTACAATTACTTAGTACTATAAAATATAATACATAAAACAATAGCATTATAAGAAAATAGGTAGATATATAGGCTCTTAGTAGTTTTTTTTTACCCATTTCTCAGATAACTGATTGTAGAGGGATGAGGCTAAAAACAGTTCTTACGAAAATTCTGAATTTTTAATTAATATTTATCAACAGTATCAGTTTTTAATTTTGAAAATAGAATTCGCATAAATATACATATGTAAAGTTACGTACCATCAATTTTCGCGTTTGTAAAAGAAACTGCAAGGAACAAAACCACTAATATAATTTTCATTTTAACACTGACACTATGATGTATAAATAATTGAAATGGCCCATTGATATACCATATATATCAACGTCTGGCCGTGGCTTAATTCACTAATCTAGAGGATATCGATATCTGTGTTAAGGTTTCGAAACCAGGATTCTGTTATCGACTAATCTAGGTCGTAGTTCGATGACCTAAATAATAATAAAAATATTGTTTAGTCTATTCGTCTGCGGTCATTACTTTTATAGGGTTAAGACTATTTGAATACATTTTATGGTTTTTAAAATCTATTGTTTGTACCGTATGTCAACAGATGTGCTTGAATTTAACCTAATTTATTGTTTAATTGTTTGCCTGAAGCAAAAACGTATTTTATTTCTAGATAACTCAATTAATAATGGTACTTACTATCATTTTAGGACTTTACATATGCGTACAATGATGCAGTTCATACATAAATTCTTATATCAATTAAGTATCTAGAAAGTTCGATACAAAAACTATGAATAATATTATTATAAAATTACTTAAATACTCTGATGATTCTTTTATGATTTACTTTTTGTAATTTAAACGATTGATTTGCTCTCGTCTGTACAAGCATTTTAATTAAATTAATTTTCCCATGACGATAAAGGCTAGTGACCGACAATGGTTGCATGGGTTTTTGTGTCCTTGACACAGTTAACAACGTATGTACTGAATACGTTTACTGTTGGCATATCGGCGCTCCCATCTAAGACTTCATCCATGGTAAGGTCACATTACTTTAGGCGTCGCTACAACGAGGCGAATTGCTGAAAAAGGGCCCCGGAGATGTTTTATCTCCCGATTAAACGTTTATTAATAGCCCGTGACTCACAGTGCGAGATTAGAACTGTTTACACAAACTCTAGTTCAATGCCGTTCTGTAGAAACAACATGCTTTTAAGATCTTGACAGTAATTTGATTTTTATCGTAATTTGACTATTTTAAACGTGAATCCTTTGTTTTCTAAAGAGTATTCAGCCTGTCTCCAACCACGTATATATCTTACTGTAATTGAGGTCTGCTCAATCTGTCCCAATCGATCGATTCTTCGTAATTTGGATCATCATCGTTTGGTATTAATTACACAAGTTCTCATCTACTTGTATTATAGTAAATTTTGATTCTATTTCACTTTGAAATTTATTTATCGAAAAGTAGGATACACGTTGTCATTTTTAGTATATTCCATGCCTCCCCAGCAGACAAAATATGTCAGTACAATAGCAATGGATTGTTAACTCTAGATTTATTGCTGTGCATATTTATGTCCTACGGTTGAATGATTCAGTACAAGCGGCGCCAGATGACGAATATAATTAAAATCAAAGTTTTAACAAATGTCACTTTAAGCAATCCATTTAATGTATGTGACATGTTCATTAAGTTTTTGGCGCCATCTTTAAAATGAAGGCAGATTTTGATACTAGAAACGACCTTTCCTGTAAACCAATACAATTAGTTTTCTGTAAATCAATATATGTTATAGTTCGTTTAATACGTTTCGAGTTTAGACAGACGTTGCTCTCATTAAATTTGTTTTAGCGTATCGTAATTTAAAGTTTTATAAATAGGTCGATGATCTTGTAGAGTCCAAGGGAACTGAGACTCTGTGTAATTAAATGACATGTGTAATACAGACAGCTGACAAACGATTTTTACGCTTCTCATTACGTTTATTTCGGCAATGACCAATTCTTCTTGCTTCATTACGCACGTGATATCTTATTACATTTCAAATTTAGGTCATCAGACGTGTTAAAGTGATGGCATGTTATTATTGAACAGGAACAAATTGGTGCACTTATGATTTGATGTGACCTTGCAGATTCGTCGTCGACTAAGGAAAAATACGTATCATCATCATCATCAGCTCACTATACATTCCCACCGAGGGGCTCGGAGCCTACCCTAAGTTAAGGGTGATTAGGCCATAGTCAACCACGCTGGCCAAGTGCGGGTTGGTTGACTTCACACATGTCTTTTAATTTCTTCTCAGATGTGTGCAGGTTGCATCACGATGTTTTCCTTCACCGTAAGAACGTCGGATAAATGTATAATACATATGTAAATCGGAAATCGAAAAACACATTGGTACATGGCGGGATTCGAACCCAGGACCTGCAGATTGCAAGTCAAGTGCTTGACCCCTGAGCCACCGACGCTCTATACGTAAATACGTATACCTTTACCAAATTAGTGTTCCTATGTGTACATAAAATGCGTTGTAACGTTGTACATAGGTGTCCAAATTTTTACAAAATTTGTTTTATTTTTCATTTTTTTTGGAGTCCTAACCTTATCTGTAAGTAAGAATACTCTGTAGAAAATATATGTTCCCTATAGTAAAGGTGTTATATTTTAAGTCGGAAAAATGCGAGACATAAATTCAGTAGTATAATTAAGGATAGGTACGAGGGGGTGAAATGTTTACAAAATTAGCCAACAGTATTATATGAACTAAGACCAGATTTATATTTTTTTAACACTGTGGGCTGTTTATTTCAAAACCTGCCTGCCTGGTAACACTGTACACATTTTACTTTTTGTTTACGCTGAAAAATTGCAACTAAGGAATTCCATGTTATTTCAGTACATATTCATATGTTTATGTATTCAAGTATTTACTGACCTTTTTACATCTGTTTTGTTCGTGAACTTCGCCCTAAGAAATTCCTTACATCGTCGCCATACATATTGAACTTGCTAACAATGTAATATTCCTTTATTTCCACAACATATGAAATTGATTATACAAATGCATAAATATAACTTAAAATAATCTTTGTTACTATTGTAAATATTGAAATAAAATTAGGATGTTACCAAGGATATAAAAACAAGAAAGTAAAGTGTGTGAATAAAAGGTCTGGGTAGCCCGGAAATGAGACGGGAAATGAAACGACAAAGCAAAGACTAATACGAACTAAAAGCCACTTGCTAAAGCCGGAATAAATGCTTCAAAGCACAAAGCATAATGAAAAGTGCATTATTGCATTCTATTGCATGTATGCTCTGATAAATGTTTAACAAAACTATTAGCTAGACTCTTCAATTCATCGGTCAGATACCCAATTAGTTTGGGCTGAATATTCGGCGGCTTACAATCTATGGTTCACCACTATTTATTCTACTCACACAGATTTCGTCTCGATCAGTTCTCGCGCCGACCTCAACGACATACGTGAAGTGACGTAAAAGCCCGCCAACGAATTTTCAATATTTAAAATATGTAACCATTGTAAAAGGAACAAATATAAGAAAAATTTACAAATTCACAAATAATTAACTTCCGAATTTTGGGGTGCATTTTAAAGAACAAAACAATGGCTAAGAATATTTTTAGAATTGTAGTAATTTTCTTTTTAATTTCTTATGCTGTATTTACAACAGTTTTTGGAGCTCCCGCGAATTCGTACTGTAAGTGATTTTTTTTTTAATTTTCATTTTTATAATCATAGTGATAAATAGCTTCGGCAAAATCTTTGAAATTTTAACAAAGATGTAAACAAACTGTAGATTAGATAATATTAAGGTGTGAGGCTCTTGAAAATATTGTCTGTTTGTGGTTTTTAGAGCTCGAGCTATATACATTTAGTATTATACAGTGAAACTTTCAAGCTTCAATTTTCTAAGGTTGTATTTTGTATTTCACAAGTTAATACAATATTTATTGCTTATTCTACTAATTTTTATTTAATTATTGATTATTTAAATAGAAGCAGACAGGCATACGTAAAATATTTTACGCCGAAGTAAGCTTTGAAAAGACTTGTTGAGAAAAATAGGTGTCGCCAATTATTACAATGTTCAACACATTGTAATAAGTCTAATAGAAATGTTACAATTGACTAGTAATTGACACGCATATTTGGTCTGGATTCTTTTGTTTTGACGGAATGCTTTTAGCTAAAAACTTATATTAAAAACCAAACAACGGGCGCACAATGGAGAAACACAGTTTAACTTTTATCGTGAAAAATAAACTCTTTTGATGATAATGCTAAGACAAATAAATTTTATGATACTTCTTCAATATATATTAAAGATAACTCTCTGATTAAAAAAGCCACAGATCAGGCTTTTATTTTCAAGAAACAGTATAAAAATGTTGAAATTTTTTGGTTATTTTGCAGTACGTGGACCACACTACACGATTAGTAACTCAGAGGGTCGCAATCAGCCGTTCATAGAGGTCCGCAACTCAACGTACCACGGTGCAGGGCCGCGAGAAGAGGCGCGTGCCATGTGCTCGGTTAAGACCCATGAAGTTGATGCCACTGCTAATGCTACCATCACCAGGCGATTACATGGAGTTGTCACTTCCAGTAAGACAGTACCTCATAAAATAATTATCAGCAACAAAATATAGCATAATTGACCAAAAGACACCAGGCAAACCTTCTAATCTTTACCAAATTATAAATCCATTGTGATAGATCGGTTTGGCTATATTACCGTAGTTTTCCACACTATCTCAGATCCGCTACAATAGATGCCGTTCTTCGAATCAGAGTATCAGCAGTGGAATTCAACGGTTTACTATAAAAATGTATGGTAAATAATTAAGAACCTCACGATGTTATATACATTTAAACGCATGAGATTTATGAGCAGACGAAACGATGTTAGGTAATATTTTGATGTACAACTCTGACGAAATCTATTCGGATCACTCGCCGGCATACCGCAAGCGTAATGGACCATGGCATTAGTCAATAGGCGCATTCGTTGCACAAGAATAGTGATTAATTATTTGTTTGTTATTTATTTAAATCTTTTACGATGTTCCCAGTATCATATGTTTAGTTCAAAAGTTTAAGCATGTTTCTAGATGTAAGCAATCATTTTTTAATCTGGAGATTCGTTTTACGGTCGCATATCTCACAAATTAAACAAATGAAAGTTAAAAAAACAATCTTCGAGAAATGAATATGATTTATTGAATTGTCTAATCTCCAGCCGTTTGGTCATCCTTGACGTCTGTTGTTAAACCCGTCCGTTTTATTTATACCATAATGTTTACTTCCTGTTTGTTTAGGGGAATTGCACTCTTCAATCCAGCGTTTGGAGGTGATCATCTTCGGTCAGATGCAGCAGGTGTGGGCGAGTCTGGACGCGCTGAGGGCGCAGTTAGCGAGCGCGGGCACGGGCATAGCGCACACGTACCCTGACCGAAGAACTGTGTCGTTCAGATTTAAACCTAACGGAATGTAACGTAAAACAATGTTTGTGTATCATGTATGATATACTAAATAACATTAGTTTTTTATTTTATATGCCAATTTGAAATTAAATTAAAAAAAATATTTTATAATTTGAAAAGAACCATTTATTTCGAGACAGTAAAATGTGTATACATTTTGCAATTACAGCTAAATACTTCTGCTGTATATGAATAACATTAAAATGCTGTAAATTAAGAAAAGGGCAAATAAATAAAAGTCAACAATTAAAATAAAGTTCGATTTATTAACAATTAGTAACTGAATTAATCAGCGGGTTTGCCCGGCGGGCACTAAGCCGCCCGGTCGGGCAATAACAATTAAACGAGTGCATTCGTTAGTTACAAAAGTTAAGTCTACAAACTAGATGCAGTATTAATAAATATTAACAAAATAAACAAAATGTATATCAACTTACAATAACATCGGAATGTACTTCAGATAAAGTATTTCGAATTCAAAGAAAATTGCAAAGCTACAATTGTGAAGAAAATCAGATGTTTAATAAAAATGTTTGTAAAACCTTTCAATAATTTAAATGGTACTTATCGTTGGTTTCTGAGATCAAAGTATAAAATATCGTCAACCCTATCATTATTTTTGACAAAACAGAGACAGCAGTATGTTTCAAACGGGGATAATAGTCTCAGAAACCCACGGTAAGTTTTGAAATAGCATAGAGCAGTGTTACCATGTCAAAGATTAAAGTGCAAATTGTTCCATAAATACAAAGTTGACATAAAAAGATCAGATCTTTATATGGTAATAGCAACACTATATCCTATATCCATTGTATCCAATCCATATACCCTGATATTAAATTTATTATGCCGTATACCATACGTGATATGTAATTTTTAATTAAATACCAAAATATTATTAAATCTAAAGAATAAATAATAGAAATCGATACAAAAATATAAGAAATTAATTCAGACTTGTAAACGTTAATATAAAAGATTAGCGGAATATTGGTTATGGCTAACACGAAATAGCGAGATTCACTGACCTCTATAAATGGATTGGCTATACGACGTTATATTTTGTGCCTATTTGATTTTCATTTGGCGCTGTTCGTTGTGGTCGGTAGCGGTGGCGTGGATTGGAACTAATAATATAGATAGGATTAACTGTCACGTAACAGACTCTTCGTAGTAAAAGCAATCACTTCCAAGCAATCGCCTATCCATTTGTAGAGATTAGTGGCGAGATTTTACAACAGATCTTACTAAATAGGATATTTACTTTATAATGGCGGGCGATGGTTATTAAATTTAATATAAGTTGCCGATAGCTGCAAGTACACTTTTATGTGATAGACCGAGTTGTTCATTTAACATTTTACGAAAAGGTCAATGAACTTCGTAATATTTGAGGTTGGAATATAACATTAAATTGCTCTGATTGATTTGTAGATTTGATTATTTGTTACAAGTATGAGATTTTACTGAAGTTTTTGAACGCAAGGCATGAAATAACAAACGTACACCAGAAGTCTTCCTTAATGTGTGACGGAACTAAATACTAGCCGATGTATCTTGTCCGTATTAGACTCGGTCGATAATTTGTAGGCAAAGGGCTAGGTCCAGGGCTAGGGCTAGGGCGTAATGGTCTGAAGGTATCTGCGCAGCTCCTCCTGCGTGTCGAAGATCATGACTGGGAAGGGCGAGCCGGGCACGTGCCGCCCCGCCCAGCGCACCTCCACGCGGTAGTCGCCGGGCTCGGTGGGGGAAAACTGAAAAATTAAATAAACAAATAATTAACACGGAAGAAAGCATACAAGAAGTAAGAATAATTAATTTCAAAACTTAGCATGATTTTAAAAGGATTTCCGAAAATGTACGAACAATGCTCATAATATGATCTATAACAGACAGACAATTAAGGTTTGGGTAACTGCTTTTTTACTTCAAATACGCGTGTATTGTATTGCAATCTAGCGTATTTCTCAGTTTTTTTTTAATTCAATGACGCTTACTCTATGTTACCAACCATAGTTGCTTATTCTATGTGTAAGTTTACTTGTTAGGTTACCTTGCAGAGTATGGTGCGGTCTTTCTGACTCTCGCGTTGCATCTCTACGCGGAAGGCACCCTTGGGTCCACGCACGCGCACGGTCAGCTGTCCGGCGCCGGCGCCGCGCGTGTCGCACAGGAACCGCGACTGGAACGTCGCCAGCACGCCCGGCTCCACGCCCGGACCGTACACGCGGACCTACATGTAATAATAAACAAAATATTATTGATAGAACGCAAACATAATCTAAAACTCCACTTAATAATTCAATAGCCTATATTTGTTAAGGATAAGTAATCATTACTTAGCATTAGGTTTCTTAAAAGAAGTCTGATCATCATTAAAGGACATAAATATCATTTCACTTACATATTTTTCTCAAAATTGTACAAAGTTTAGATCAGATCAAGAAAATGCAAAAAAATACCATATAACACCACAACCTTTTATAGTAAGTTATTTAATCTGAGGGAACGTACCTTAGAGGGGTCGGGTGCGCCGGCGACCTTGAGCACGAAGGGCGAGCCGGGCACGTGCGCGCCGGCGAACTGCACGCTCAGCACGTGCCGGCCCGCCTCCGCCGGCTTCACGCTCAGAGTGAACGTGCCGTCACCGTGCTCGTACAGCTCGCAGTACGCAACCTATATGACAGCCAATATAAGTCACTAGATCCAACTGATTATTCTCCTATAACACTTCAGGAAGAAGCTCATCAATAGTTGTATGAATGAACAAAAAAAATATATACAAGTGACAGCGCCCTCTTTCGTAAGACGGATATAATTCACTTATAGTGGTTAGTACGTGATATTATAGTATTTAGATATTTTGGGCGCTCATAAATTCGTGCAAATCGTTCTACAAAACATAATTTTATATGTAGCCGGGCGTAGCAATATGCGAGGGGAGGGCACTGCACAGCACGCTGATGACCTTGGATCGTCTTCATATTTTGATAACTGTAATACCTTGTTGGGTCCGGTGCAGTGCGCGGTGAGTTCTCCAGGGCCAGCGCGGCGCGTGTCTATCCAACTGCGCATCTCGCGGCCCACCACGCCGCCCGCCAGCCCCGCGCCCGAGCATACAACGCGCGCCGCCTCGCCCCCACCACCCTCGCCGCCACCACCGCCACCGCCGCCAGCCACAACACTCACAGTCAGCGGACAACCTGATACACATACAGTTATTGAACTATATTATTACAGAAATGTTTAGAAATAAGTTAAAGAATTTAAATAAAGAGGAACCTTACTCAATAGTAATGATTAATTCTATCTTTAAATTGATAATTGCCTTTTGATTGATATTTGATAAACCTTTAATTAATAAACCTTTTTATAATAAAATAATTGATAAACCTTTGACAAGTCTTCCGGCCCACAGTACGCGTAGCTGATGTTCGCCGGCGCGGCGCGGCGTGTACGAGGCGCGCCACAGGCCAGGTCCTGCCGCCGCCAGAGCCACCGGCACCGCACTGCCGTCCGGAGCACTCAATGATGCCTCGGGCGCGCCTGGACCAGCTGCGCTACCGTCTGAAAAGGTATCAAAGAAATAGTATAAACTATCGTAAATAAAAACGACTTGATCGTAAATATATCATAACTAGATATGTTGCCTAACTATTTAATCATTTATGTTAAATTAAACGTTGGTTGGTGAAAGGATTATGGTCACGTAAGATGTTAAGTGTAAGCTAAACTAAGTACGAACCTATAGTGAAGACGGCGGGCGTGTGCGGTGCGGCGTGGGCAAGACCACGGCCGGCGAGCGCGACACGATCAGCGGCGGGGCCGGAAGCGAGAGCGCGGCGCGGCGCCCCGCCCACCAGCGCGCCGTTATACGTAAGCTCCAGCTCCTGCTCGCCGCTAGCTCCCTCCGCAGCTGACAGCGTCACCACAGCACGGCCCGACACCGTTTCCACACCTGGCAAAATAAGATACACAATATAAAATAAGAAGTTTTTCAAAAAAAAAATAATTAAAAGATACACTTTACACATGATTATAAAGTGACTTACGTTGATGCCTGCCGGCCAGCAGGCACTCGAGCGTGCCAGGTCCAGCGTTGCTGATGTCCAGCACGAGCTTGGAGGGCGCACGCACCCGACCTGAGTTGTCCGCGCCCCACCCACCCACGGGCACTATGGCAGACGTGTCTATCACCTAGAACCAATGAAATAATTAAAACCTACATTTATTTCATTCTTCAAACTCTAATCGGTTTACGAGATATTTAAACAAATTAAAGCGAGATGGCACGTCGCTCAGAATATTACTCCTGTTCACCAAGTGCCAAATCAAATATCGATAAGTGTGCTTACCTTAACTGAGAAGGGGCTGCCAGGTAGTGGACCTGTGCTGGTGAATATCCTGACTTCGTAAAGGCCGACGACAAGTGGTATGTACGCGCACAGCCACTCGCGCGCCGCGCCCGCCACCACGCGACACTCCAGGAGACCGGAATCCGTCTCCTCCTCCTTGCTGTCCGTCAGTCTTTCCACCTGGATTTTTTTTTAATTAGTTTAATATTGTTTAACAGGAAAATTAGACATCCAATGGCAATGGCATGTCGCATCCATATTGAAGTTAAAGAATGTGTATACCTGTACAGTGGGTGTGGCGTCGTCAGCGCAGTGTATGGTGAAAGCGGCTTCCTTGCCAACGTGCGCATGCGCCAGTCCCGTGCCCAGGCAACGTGCCGCCGCACTGCTGCGCGCGCTCAGCACGCCCAGTGATACTGGACTGCCCAGGACAGCCGCTCCTAGTACAACATTATTAAGTTACTAGCAGTAGTCCGCGTCTCCGTCCGCGATTAAAAATATAATAGCCTATGTGTTCTTCTAGACTATGTTCTATATGTATGCCAAATTTAATTGACATCCCTTTAGCCGTTTAAATACAAAAGATATTGAAAGCACTACTTTAATGAATCAACTGTATCAGCATGTGCAATTTTATAATGTCGTTAAAATGAAATAATTATAAAGAAAATGTAATAAACTAGTCATAGTATTTACCTCCGTATGTGATG